GATCTAGACATCATGAGAAGATATCACAGTAGGCAGGGGACATGGACTACTAAACCGGACGCTTTCTCTCCACGAACTATAATCTCAGGGCTGCAAGTATTACTGGGGAACCACATCTACACACATTACACCTGCAGCCACCAAATACCCGCAAGGGGCGGTGGGGGGGACGGCGGGGAGGACGGCGGGGAGGGGGGCAACCGGGGGGGGGGCGGGCAAGACCTCAAAGAAAACGGCACACCTCACAGACAAGTCTGGGGACACAGCAAGTGGCCCATCGCTACCTGGGGGGCCAACCACACCTGGCGGTGCTCGGTCTTTAGACAGGTTTCACAGCCACACCTCACCACTATACACCTCAAGCCCCCACTAGACAGACCACACCTTTCAAGGGGACCGCAGACACCTCGGCGAGGGGCCGAGCGGACAGCCCAACTGACGGGGCCATATTGGGGGTACCCCTGGGGAAGAGCCACTGGGAGACACCCCCACACGAAGACCTTACGCCACTGGGGGGGGAAACCCCACCAAGAACCCAAATAGCGGGCCCGGAACAGGCAAGCATCCAAGGCTCAATTCCCGTCAGACCGGCAACCAGGGACCCCCCTGTTATAGCCACCCGCAGGGTCCACACCAACCCCAGAGACAGGCCTAATCTAGACGCAGACCGACTAGGCAAATCCCACAAAACCGGACCCAAACCACGCCGAAGCGACACCAGGGGACGCACACACTAACCCCCACTCACACGCCCCAGAAGGACCACAGACAACCCAATGATCCCAACGACCTGATACGGAACCAGCCCCAACCCCAGGGACGGACCCACACACATCCGGACCGCCGCTGACTAGGGACACGCTATGGCATGCCGGGCAGCCAGCCTACAAGGGCAGACAGCTAGGGGGCGGCCTACCCACCATTCCTGCCTCCCACCCAAGCTATACATCGACACGTGACAGGGGACCGTGGGACCACGCCACCTGACCTATATACCTCACTGATCACTTGACACTAGCGGACCGCAAACCCATGGATGCAGCCCCACCCAGCGGCTCCCAGAGGCCCCAGACCACATTGATAACTTGAGAGACTAACGGGATCTCGCAACGGGCAGACGCAGTACCCCAGCTGCAATACAAATGCCGACAAACACACCCAGAGTCGGGACTATGCCCCCACCCAACTACCCACACTCTTAAGAGCGACATTACTGAAGGGCCAAGGGGCGGCGACACGCATTTGGGACTGACACTGCGGACTCCCCAGCTCAGGCACAAGCGACGAGCCCAACAGGAGATCGGGTGGGTCCAGACCAAACGCAATGACACCACTAGGGACCTGACCAGGATGGGGAGGTATCACAGGGTAGCCAGACAGCCAAACCACAGACCGCCGATACCGAGCACACAAAACTCTACACAAAGCGTGGCCGGTCAAGACCCAACATTATAGCCTACCGTCAGGGGAATGCATGACACAAACTGTGACCCGTTGGGTGCTCTCGCATACTTCTGCATTTATAGCTACTAAACCAAGCTCTTTGTAAATATCACAAATGTAATGAAAATGTATTTCTTAATGTTGTTATATCGATGTTATGCACACGAGGTTGAATAGTTGCCATGTTGAATATGTGAATACATATGCCGATGTTGAATATCAGGCCTCAATGTTATACGCTACCACACAAGGCACCTGCACCCCCCCAAGGTTGCGGGACGGGTGCAGGACAACCACCGCAAACAGAAGCCGCACTCTCTCACACACGCCCCTTCCCCCTCCCCTCCCCCTCCCCGCCCCTCCCCATCAGGAGCTCAGCTAACACAACCACGAAACAGGCAGGCTGAGGGCAGGACCTGCCACGACCTGCCACCCACCTTCCCTCGGGACTTGTGACTTCCAATCCCATTACAAGGATAGGAGACCGAGCCCTCCCGCTGACCAGACGACTGGCCAGATCGGCCCAGTTATTCCCCACCACACCCTCTATGACTGCCCCCCGGTCTGCCACGCCCGCGCACCCCGGGTCCCGCTACCTTGAAGCCCTCCCAGCCACCCACCCACCCGCCCCCAAACACCAATTGCCCCCACCCCCTAGGGCCAGGCACGCCATGAATCCACCACATGTGAAAACTCGTTTAACCTCCCTCAACGTGAAGGGACTGAACTCCCCAGGGAAGAGACATGGGCTACTCCGCTGGGCCAACCGCACAGGGGCGGATATAATCCTGCTCCAAGAAACGCACTTCACGGACCAGAAAAGCTTTCCCTTGACCAACAGACACTTCAAGAGACACTTCCTAGCCAACTCCCCGGACCCAAAGAAAAAAGGAGTGGCAATCCTCCTACGCAATTCTTGTCCACTCGAAGACATACGCACAATCCAAGACCCCAACGGGAGATACCTGATCCTCACGGGACATGTGGGTACAACCTCACTCACAATCTGCTCACTCTATGCGCCAACGATACCGGACACCAATTTCTGGGGCACTTTCAAGTCCCACCTCGACAGCATCTCCAACAAATACCTAATTATAGGAGGGGACCTCAACGCGACACACACACCCGCCATAAACCGGAGAACCTATAGAAACACGGCGCCGGCTGCAACCAGGAACGATAAGCTATACGCAACCTTCCTCGAGGGAACGACGCTACTGGACATCTGGAGGGCCCAGCACCCGGCAGACCAAGACTTCACCTATTACTCTCACATGCACCGGTCATACTCGCGTATAGACTGCTTTTTAGTTTCCCAGGCAATCCATCCCTGGACTACCCGCACGTCCATCGGCAACATCACGTGCTTGGACCATACGGAAATCACATTGGACCTCCAGATCCCGCGGCTATCCCGTCCATGGCGTTGGCGCCTCAACCCGTGGATTCTCTGAGACAAAGGAACGGTATACACCATAACCGACCACCTCAAAACCTACTTCGACATAAACGCCACGGAAGACATGGCCCCGGTGACAGTGTGGGCAGCCCACAAAGTGACCATCCGAGGCCAACTGATTGCAATCGCCACAGCCCAGAAAAAACGTTGTCTCAAGGACCTCACGGAAGCGCTAGCCGACCTAACGAAGCTTGAAACGCTACACAAGCAGAACCCTTCAGACGACCTGCTAACGCAGCTCTCCTCCGTACGCGAGCATCTTCGGCGGCTTTCCACGGCAGATGTAGCGCGGAACCTCATGTGGACCAAACAACGCTTTTACGAAAAGGGGAACAAGGCGGACTCCCTCCTGGCACACGGTCTTAAAAAACGACAGGACAACAAAAGAATCACCAAGATCAGAACCAGCAGAGGGGAGATCACGAACAACCCTGACAAAATAGCCCAGGAATTCCTACAATATTATACAAAACTCTACAACCACTCCGACCCACCACCACCAACAGGGGACACGACCCAAAGGGACAGAATCTTCTCCTTCCTACAACCTCTTAATCTGCCCACCCTGCCCGCACAGGCACAGGCACTGCTAGAATCACCCATAGAGGGCAAAGAACTTGCTCAAGTGCTTAAATCGCTAAAACCGATGAAGAGCCCAGGACCCGACGGTTTTACCGCCCTCTACTATAAAACGTTCCAGGCGACACTCATACCACACCTGTGCAAAACTTTTAACTCCTTACTCCAGGGACAACACCTCCCCCCGGACATGCTCACAGCCGACATATGCCTCCTGCCTAAACCAGGCAAGGAACAACTAGAACCAGGTCACTATCGGCATATCTCACTTCTGAATACGGATTTGAAAATCCTCACAAAAGCGCTGGCCAACCGCCTCAACGCATACCTCCCCAAGCTGATTCACCCAGACCAGGTCGGGTTCATCCCAAAACGGCAGGCATCGGACAACACACGGAGAGCCTTTAACACAATATGGTATACCCAGCATCGGAACATCCCGGCAGTAATGCTCTCGCTGGATGCAGAGAAAGCATTCGATCGCCTTCTCTGACCATATATGTTCTAAATCCTATCCCACCTGGAATTCCCGACCGGATTTCTGAATGCTTTGGCGGCAATCTACAACCGTCCTACGGGTAGACTGCTCTTACCGAATATCGAGGCCCAAACTTTCACCATCACGAATGGAACCAGACAGGGCTGCCCCCTCTTCCCCCTAATATTTGCAATCTCGCTAGAACCACTCCTGAAGGCCATACGCAGCCACCCCGAGATCAAAGGCATCCACATCAGGCGCGAAGAGTACGCAGTGGCGGCGTATGCGGACGACGTCCTCCTAACTCTAGCGGACCCGATCCCATCCTTACACGCCACTCTGGACGTGATATCAGAGTACTCCAGCTTCTCAGGGTATAAAATTAATCTGACAAAGTCCATCCTCATGCCCGTGGCAATGACCGCGCAAAACTCCATCTCCTGCGGCACTCGTTCCCATTCAAAGTCACCATGACACACCTCACATACTTAGGCACCAGATTGCCCCACAAACTGGACGACACATACGACCTCAACTACAAACCATTGCTGACAACAGCTCACCAGGACCTCCAACGCTGGGACAAGTTAGGGATCTCGTGGCTGGACAGAGTTACAACCGTCAAGATGAACTTGCTGCCACGCTTCCTATATCTTTTTCAAACATTACCCATCCCCATACGGAAAAAAGATTTCAGAGATCTCCAGGCCGCCATTGACAAATTTATATGGAGGGGTAAAAAACCACGCATCCGCAGGGCAACTATGTACGTCCCCTAAAACTAGCGGAGGCCTGGGGCTACCCAACTTCCAGCAATACTACAACGCAGCCCAACTGGCCCACATACAACGATGGCATGCCCCCCGAGCGCCAAACGATGGGTAAACCTGGAACACGACATCATGGGATGGGACCAGCCATCGTCCTATATGTGGGTGCCTCCGGTACATCAGCCGCTTCCCCCAACCACCTCACCGGCGATCACCCACACGCTAGCTCTATGGGACAAACTCAACCCTAAATACGAACTGTCCTCCTTCATATCTCCGGTGACGCCTATCTACCGCAATAAACTCTTCCCTCCAGGACTGGTGGCAAAGCACTTCCGTACATTTGACCAAAGGGACATATCCAGACTACTTCACCTATACCATCAAGGCGAGATAATTGACTACAAGGACCTCCCAAACAGCGAAACACTAACCACCGCAGACTACTTTCGCTACATACAGCTTAGGGACCTGGCCAGGCAGCCAATGATCAAACAAGCAGGGACATCACCCCCGACGCCATTCGAAAAGAGTTGCTTCAACGCACCCCTACCTTCAGGACAAATCTCAGGACTATACACCACCCTAACGACACACACCTCCAACGTTACCCTCACCTACATCACTGCTTGGGAACGAGACCTTGGGCCGCCAGAAGAATCGAGCGACTGGGCAGAAATCTGTGAAGCAACGAATTCCTTGACAGTATGCCTAACTCATAAAGAACAGGCGTACAAAACACTGTTCCGCTGGTACTTGACGCCGCACAGTCTCCATAGAATGGGCCAGAAACCCGACAACCTATGCTGGAAACTGTGCGGCGAAAAGGGTTCCTACTTACACTGCTGGTGGAACTGCCCTAAAATCAAACCACTCTGGACAGAAATTAGCAACCTCATAGCACAGATCCTCGACAAGCCCTACATGGCGCAACCGTGGACGATGCTACTCAACAAACCGCTAGACTCCCTTACCAGGAGCAAAAACAAACTAGCCGCCAAAATAACATTGGCAACCCGTAGGGCAATTGCAGAGCGATGGGCCGACCACCGTACCCCTACGACCTCAACCATCATCAACAAGATTAAAGAAACCAGAGACCTGGACGAACTAACCGCTCAGATACACGACTCCTACAAAGCGTTCCACAGAACCTGGGACCTCTGGGACATGAATTACTGTTACGATTGCCCCCGGTCTAGCAGGAGGGTTGATCGCTTGGATGTCCTGGTTCCCGCTGCAGAGAGTCGAACGGAGGTCTTTCGGTAGTAAACTGCAAATGTAGAATATCCCCAAGCACGATATAAGCATCAATATCCCGGATCCCTACAACATGAGTCGAGGCTGCAAGTTGAGGGTCAAAACGAACTGGCTTTACTGGCACATAGAATAAACTATAGAAAGAGGAAAAAATTCCCTAAAAGGAAAAATAAATCCTCCACTAGAACTACCCCCAATTTAACAATATATGTGTGATATAATCAAATAAAAATACATATGTAGAAAATAACAATAACCTTTATTAAATATCCAAATCAAAAGAAAAAATAATGAATAAAAAGTGCAGACTAATCTCGGCTGAAAGAAAGCTGCTGAGGACATCAAGACCACATTAAATATAGTAAGTACAGATAGGGTTGTTATATAACACAGTGAGTCTAAACAATGTAACAACCTCTAACAGAAAAACTCAAATGGCAACAGCAGCTTATAAAAAAGCCGAAATAGTACTCAGCTGTAACCCTAGGTATATCTAAATAGGAGGCACTGTATAATATACTTTCTAAATAGTAATACTAGTTAAGGAACCCTTACTTACTAAAAAAAAAAAAAAAAAAAAATAGATGACAGATCTATTAGTGATATCCAGAAATCGAAAGGATAGTAAGATGGGTAGTAAAGAAAACTGATATAGAAAGTAAACAGCAAGCAGGAGGTAAATCCTCCACTGTAATTCTCTAAAGTAAGAGTATATATGCCCCAATAATGCTCGTTGACCGGCCGGTCATATGTAAATATGGGTACAGCTAACGTACAAAAGAGTGTGTGTAAAATAGTATAACACACATGTCCGCATCAAATATTGCCCAACGCGCGTTTCGGTGGGTAAACCGCCTTTTTCAAGGGCATCCTGTACAAATCCCCCGCTCAAACTTACTCCTTAAAAGAGCGAGTAACTCCTCCTCCTAAAGAATAAAGGCCAATCCTCACCGTTCGCCCACGAAAAGGGGGCGTCTATTCATTCCTCCTCGCCAGGAAAAATCTACGGTGTATCGAGAGGTCCATAATGCCCGCGCATGCGCGCGGACTTAGAAAAAGGAGACTCCTTTTCTAAGTCCGCGCACAT